GTAGATGCACATCTTGTTACACGAGAGGGCGGCAAAGAAAAAGAAACCAAAAGCACGCAGGCCGTGACGTGACAAAAAAGAAATAGAGCTCTTGCTCCGCATCTGTAATGTTATAATAAAAGGCGCGCATCGTCTGCGCAGCGCGTCGACGCTTCAAAACATTCACACGGACAATGAATGAAGGCACCACCATTATTACCGTGTTATGAAGTTCCGTTAACCGTCCCGCCTATGAGCCGACGAGCAACCGTCCAATCAGGCCGCCTTCTCCTCTTTGGAAAGAACCTCTGTCGTTGATGTTCACGAGCTCTGGATTCATCCGAGAGGCTTTTTTAACCTGAGAGGAGCCTCACCCCACGGTGACTGCGCGATGTTTCTAACGAAAGTCATCCCCGTGTCTCGCCCCCTCTTTCATCCTGTAACCGGTTAAAAAACGGAAATACAAACTCGAATTACTTTTGAAAACGAGCGGGAACTGCCAGTAAATGCATCACATGCTTGAAATCACGCGTGGAGGCGACATTTATTTTTTCTTTGTTTTCTTTTCTCTTTTTTTTTTTGCTGTTTTTCGGGGGATTTTCAGCTCGAGTCGTTTAAAAAATGCGATGCCTCGCACTGAACAGCAGGAGGAAGGTGTGCTACGGTTTTAATCTCATTTAACGTAAGTTTCTATATTTATCTATTTAATTATTTTGTGTCTTTGCTCACTTTTTGTTATTCAGACATCATTGTCGCAGTTCTGGCTTTGGTTCCGTTTTTTCAGGCTGCAGGTGGCTTACTGTATACCTGACATATAGATATTGTGAAAAGGCTCCATGCAGCTTTTTCCATAAACAGGCCCAAACATCACATCAATAAAATGTCTGCACGCAGGAAAATCAGCAGGGGAGCAGAAAAAATAGGCAAAATCTGTAATATTATTTTCTTTATATTCTAATTATGACCTACATGGAGTATATCAGTATATCAGTATCTCGGGAAGGGTGGGAGAGGCCTCATATATTTTGCTGCTGAACAAGCATAACATGCTAAAATAAAAGCTTTAAACATGTAATCAGTGTTGATTGTACTCTACCGGAGTACTCGAAGCGCTCTATACAACACGCCACATTCACCCATTCACACAAGCACTATCTTCTATGCTTTTTAAGTGCTTTCTAACTACCATGCACACACATTGTGTTTTGTATTCAGATCGATACAACTTGGAGTTGATATCTTGCGCAAGGATATTTGGTATATGCAATGTAAGGGGGTATAAGATAGTTTTAGTTTTATACATAAGGACTGCACCTAATGATATATTTTTAAATTTCAGAATAATTAGTTTAGGGGTAACTTGTCAAAAACCAGATGTGCAATAAATCTCCAGCTCTGCCGTGTGTCAAAATAAACACTGAACCCACGGGGAAGCCACTGAGCTGAATACAGCTCAAAACAAAATCGAGATATAATTACTCACTTCTAATATTTGAATTTGAAGTGACTAATTTTGTCTAATTCTTGTTCAGTAACAGCTCGAGCTGCACAGTCAAGGATGATGTAAGGGAGGGTGGGGCATGTTACAGATTCCTCTGTATTTGGTCAGTCCACCATCCTGGATTATTTCAGTCTTCAACACAACCTGCGGAAACGTTTAGGTGATAAGTTTGCTTTGTATTGTGTTTTAAAGGGACACCTGATATGAGTCTCTCTGACCAACTCTGCAATGCCTGTGCAACTGGAAATCTATTAGAAATCATAACTTTACTGCAAAATGGAGCTGATGTAAATATTAAAAATGTGTTTAATAGGACTGCAATACAGGTAAGTAATAAAAACCTTTTGAACTGGCTTTTTTTCCGAAGTGATCTTAAACATATTTGGACGATTTCAGTCTGTTTTGCTTGCTAGCAGCTTGATTTACTTCCTTGTTTTAGTGCTTTGTGTTAGAGGCTGAGGCCTGAGGCCTCCTCACATGTACTCTTCAAATATCCACCAGCTTCGATAATGTCATCTTTATACTGAATACAATCGTCTCAGATCGATGTAAATATTTTTTGAAGTGCAGAAATCTGTATGTGGCAGTTATAAGTTTGGACTCTCCAAAATAGATTTAAGTGTAGTGAAAAAGATAAACAGTTTACCAAAAGTCTAAAAAGCTGAAATTCATGATTTACTATCAGATTTGAATACATTTATAGATTAATATAAATACATATGTGTGCATGAGTGTGTTTTATGGAGTAATAAGATGTTCTGTTATCACTTCCTTAGTTTCACAATTTATTTTTCAAATGCAGATTTTGTACTTGACTCAGAGAGAGTTATAGTTTTTTTTTTATCACACGAAGTAAAGAATAAACTTGTGTTCATATTATTGTAATTAAGAGAAATCAGCAAATACGAGACAACATTAAAGTATGAAATTGTCAGTGGAGCTGAGGAGCAGCAAAATGGTGTTGTTAAGGAAATGGTGGTGTTGGGTATTAGCTGTTAAAAAGAACCTGGATTTATTCAGATGTACGTTTTTTGCTTTAGGACAAAATATATAAATTGTTCAAGTCTCTTAATTTTAGAAGAAGCGGAAAATAAAGAATAAGTAATTACTGGTTTATGGTTGTGGGCAGAGATCTGAACAGATCCTTTATGTATCTATCCAACACCGTGTTTGGGGTGTATGTAAGTATTAGTCTGAGTTTTGTTTTTGTTTGTTTTAGTGATAACTTTTTAAGTAGCAGCTGCATTTAATCATAAAGTAGGGCACAGAAAAGAGCAGAGTCGTGAAGCATGAGGCACACAGACAAAGGACGCGCCCATTTCTACAGTAAACAAGGAAAAGGGGAAAAACGGCTGCTTCCCACATTCTAACACACATACGCACATGCTCACGTATCAACACTGAACAAATGTATTCATGATTGTATTACTTTTCTTGTGTATAAATAACGATAAGTGCACATCACACACTCTCAGAAATAGAGGCACGAGAGAAGAACATTTTGTACATTTTTTAAATGTTCCCTTAAAAGTACAATACTGGTCTTTAAAAGTGCAGAAATGCCCCTTTAAAGGTTCAATTTGAAATAAAGTACAAATCTGTACCATTTTGACCTGTACTGCAGTGACAGTGGCAGAATGTGGTAATGGGTCAGCATGGGAAAATCTGGATGGGGTTATTGTAAAATTCATATGAGATGTGAGTGTGCTCATAAAAGCTACATGTTATAATCAAATCTGTTGGTCCTCTGTACGTAAATTATCCTATGATGCAAAGAATATCTGTAACCTACCTTTACATTTATGTCTTAGGAAAGTACATGACTGTACTTCAGATGGGACAAATTCATAAGGTACAAAAATGTACCAAGCCTAAAGGGTACAGAAATGTCCCTCAAAAAGGAACACCCCCACCGACAAGCATTTGCACCCTTTTTGGTACACTTTGGTACCCCTATTTCTGAGAGTGCAGGGCCCCCACTTTGGTGTGAGCGCTCTGCCCTGCAAGTAAAAACTGCAGCGTGTGTGTTTCTACTCTCTGACTCTAAGCTGAAGAAGTGTCTTTAGAATAAATCTCTTGACACTACAAAAACAGAATTTTCCATTTTTATGCTCTTGTCAAATATAAGTTACTAGAAAAATATTGAAAAAAATGAGAAAAAAACAACAATTCGATGCTTAGTTAATTTCCTGCTATTAAAGATGATATCACTGAAAAAGTACATTTGAAAATCTATTTTAATCGCTTGCTTGCTTGATTAAAATTAATTCTTCCAAGATGGAGTTACCTTTAAGAGCAAACCTGTTCAGAAAGGCAAATAATCATATGCAGCAGTTTGACCAGAAGGCCTGTTTTTAGCGGAGGTAGCGAAGACATTTAAGTGGGAACTCCAGTCTCATGAAAATGAACTAATGGGCTGCTGTCAGCGCTTGTAAGGCCTGTGCGCAGCGAACCAAAAGTCCGTCAGCCCAACGTGAAAAATGCCCGGTTTGCCAGATTATCAGCCCGTGCCCTGCTTGGATCCGATTTTAAACG